GTGCAAGCACTGCTCCACTGTCTGCACTGTGCAAGCACTGCTCCACTCTGCACTGTGTAAGCACTGCTCTACTCTCTGTACTGTGCAAGCACTGCTCCACTCTTCACTGCACAAGCACTGTTGCACTCTTCCATCTTTCTTACCTCTCCATTGCTCATAAGTTCACTACAATGACACCCATCAGCCCCTATGTACTCCACTCAGCTAGTCCAACTTCTACCAAAGCCTCAGATGAGGTTTTAATGGGTTAGTTTATCTTGTAGCACCTGAGGGACTGGTCTAAGACCCCTGTGGGCATAAAACCCAGAGATGCTCCAGCCCCTTACATAAAGTGATATACGTATGGCATGTGGTCTCCCTGCTCCCAGTTTGTTCAAAATCTAGCAGAGGGCACACTGCTGCTCCAGTGGGTCTGTAGGTGTTCAGTTCAAAGACAGTTTCTTTAAAAATACTTTTACCTGTAGCTGGCTAAATTCATGTAGAAACCAAAGGAATGGGCACCAACTGTACATGCCTGGCTGCTGTGAACTCAAACTTTACCATTTCAAATGTGGCAAAGAAAAAAAAATAAAGAAATGCTTTTCTCTTTCTTTCCTTTGTTTTCTTTCTTTCTTTCTTTCTTTCTTTCTTTCTTTCTTTCTTTCTTTCTTTCTTCTTCCTCCTCCTTTCTTATTAGTATGAGGCTTCTTAATCTGATACATATTCTATCTAAACTCAGATGCTGAGTTTTAGTCATAAATGCTTGGGTTTTATTTTTATTTTATAAAATCTACAGTTGAAAAGTAGGTTTTTTATTATACCTGAGATGTGTCAAGGAATATAGATTTATTTACTTTTAATTTATACAAATTTAATTAAGATTAGACTTAAGATTCAGCCATTGAGGCCAGCTGTTCACATAGGTCTGCAATCCCACTCAGGAGGCAGAATCATCAAGGTCTGTGAGTCCCAGGCCAGCCTGGGCAGCAGGGCAGGTTTTAGCTCAGCTTGGACTATATAATGGGACCCTGTTTCACTGAACAAACACACACATGCATACACATATTAGCTGACTAATTAATTAGTTCAGGTGTGCTAGATATAGTTCTAGTACTTAATGCCATCTGTTGTTGTCACTTCTCAGACAATAGGCTTCTGAGCATCAAAAAAAGGGCAAGCAGAAAAACCAGAAACATGCTTATCATGGTAAGTACTGTGGGGATGCTTCAGATATAACGGCTCTTCCTGGCAGGGAGGGTGATAAACATGTAAATAGCAACCACATAAAGCCAGTTATGATGAAGACAAAACAGAAGAGAGAATGCCAGAGAAATAGGAAAGAGCATGTGCAAAGGAGACTGTTGTTTGCAGTCTGGTAGTTATGGCTTCCCATGTATGCCTGGAAGATGGGACAAAAAAGCTCTGAAGAGAACAGCCTTGGGCAGGACTGAAAGTATCACCAGCAGGCCAGAGAGCATTCTCAGAACACCACCAATAAAGAGAGTCCCAGTGAAGATGGATTTGAGCTGTGTTTGGGGAGAACTCACTTGACCTTGATGTGGATGACAGACAGAAAGAAAGAAAGAAAGAAAGAAAGAAAGAAAGAAAGAAAGAAAGAAAGAAAGAAAAGAGCTTGGCTGCTCCATGAGCAATTAGCTACTGCACCAGTCCAGGAAAAGGTGCAGGTTCTGGGGAATAGGATCAGAACCGCGGTGTTGCTTACAGGGAGCACCTCAGGACTTGACAAGTTGCAAAGGATCTTCCAAGGCTCTGTAGCAATCAAACCAAGGAGGACTGAAGACCCGAATGAAGAAATATCATCTCTAGTGCATTTGTACAGAGACATCGTAACAGAGGTTGAAACATGACTATGGATGAGGTAGCACACCTGAAGAGAAACAACCACATACACACTGACTGAGTATGCCGGTCCAACGGTGTGACGGCAGATGCTAGCCTTCACACTGTCTTGGCTATAACACACATGGGGATTATGATGGTTGTGTATATACACTAAGCCACTATATAGAAGGGTGGGCTGTCCTCTGCAGGGCTCTGGAACTAATCCCCAGTAGACCAGATGACATGTGTATACTAGTCTATGGAGAGCTGACAACATTTAGTCTGGGACCATCCATCAGGAAGCGGCAGTTGCCAACACTTGCTCTTCAGCTTATATCAAAGGACAAAGGAAAGTAGTGGAGAAACGCCATTTAAAAACTCAGACCAAGGCCGTGATTTATCTTTAAAAGGCTGGATACCTACTATGTAGACCAGAAAGCAGGTGTGAGGCTTACAGCAGGCTGTTATCATGCCTAGGTCACCTCTGAGACTGACACAGCAGTGGATCCACAATTTAGGCTTTGCTTCTGGTTGGCCTTGCTTTAGAAGCTTATTGTTTTTATTTTATAATTGGCAGGGAATATATCCATCATGCACAGGGCCCTGAGTTCTATCTTCTGTACCTCAAAATCAAAACAAAAATGGTAGAGAAAGGACAAAGAATGAACATATAACTTCTGAATGGTGGCTGGAAGGATGTGCACTGAAGCCTTCTCTTTGGTGGTCAGGCACAGGGGTACATGCCAGGAGCCCCAGCATTCGGGGAGTACTGAAATGTGGGTAGGACAACCTCAGCTATGAGGAGTCTAGACTCTATGGGGACTCTGCCTTAAAGACCACAGTGTGGGGAAAAAAAATCACCTCAGTGTCATTTTAATTTTCTTACCTAGAAGCCTTTCATATTCTAAAATAAGTATATAACCTTTTCACAAAAGGCAACAAGACTGAGGAAACAGATAGTTTCAGTCTCTGTGAGGTCAAAGGCTCCCAGAGTGAGGTATTCCTAAGGAGGTTGGATCCAAGACTTTTGTCTTTGTGGGTCTCATGCCCACTTCTGCTGCTCCTGAAGCCATGCCCACTTATTTTCTCTTTATGATTTCTATTCAGCAGAGCTGTGAAGGAAAATTGAGGCAGGCTTTTCTGAGAAGATAAAAAGCCTCTGTAGCCTGTGAGATGGAAACTTCATAAGAGAACACTGGTCTCTGTCACCAGAGAACTCGGTTGCTGGACGACAGAAATTCTGAGGAGAACAAAGAGCAGAGAGCCTGTTGGTGCTGTGCTGTCACTTCAGGGCAGGCATGCTAGTAACTTTATATTATAATGGCGGGATGGAGAACAAGGTGTCCCATTCACTGAGAGCTCCTGCCACTATGGGCTCTCAGGCTCCGCCAAGCATTTCACTGAAGTGGAAACAAAAAGAAACTTACAAGGAGTGTGGAAGGGGCTGAAAGCAGGTAGGTAGATCACCAGTGGCCACATAAATAACCAGAGAACTAGAGTGGGGTGGAGGGGATGAAAAGACGCCCTGTGATCGCTCACCAGCCCAACTTATGCACTAAATCAGGCTTGCTTCTGTCTGCTGCTGCTGTTTTTACTTAACAGCTAAGCACCAAGGGAAATGTCAGTTGGACCCTAAAGATAAGTTATAGCTGCTGAGCCTCATTGCACCTGGCTGTTTTGACAGTCGGTTTCATCAGTTCATGGTAGAAAGCCTTGTCTCTGCTAAAGCTGCCACGAACGCAACTAGATCTTGGGAAGAAAAGGTTCAGCTCAGAGGCAAATCTCACCTTTTCTTGTTCCTTTCCCCAGTTTGTATGATGCAACCTCCCCTGCTGCCACCAAGAGGAAGGTCAGTCCTGCCTCATACACGCCACGTGGGCAGCCTGCTTCCAGGCACACACTGCTCAGACTTTAGGACGTCATCTTTCTTCCCTCCTGGACAGCTGGGGCAAATAAGGGTCCTGTTCTAGAGCAGCCTCACCAAAAAGGCCTGGGAGCCTCCAACTGCCTTCTTAGGCCCATAAAGCAAACTTCACCGAGACTGCCAGAGAAGCCTCACCTAAACACTGCATGGTGAGGCTGGTTCTGCAAGTCATCTCATTCTGAAGTCACCTTCTTAGAAGCCACAGGCTCTCATAACGTACCTGATGTTAAAGTGCTGCCATCCAGGCTCCAGGCAGCATCCCCTCACCTGTTTTGTTTAGTTTTTATTTCTTTGATGGTTCCCAGAGGGACCGAGTCAACCAGTAACTTCAAGTAGCTGGCACACATTTCTGAACTGAAGGCCAAGTATCTCCCAATGAGCTGATGGTGGTTGGTAGTAACATTTCCCCTTGTTTGAAGGCTGAATACCCTTTTACTGCATTTCATGGCTCACAGACATTCATTGGCGCTCAGATACTTCCAAGCAGAAGTTCACATAACCAGCCACAGAATCAGAAAAAATAAGCTGGGTATAGGAGCTGCTTACCTGAAAACAGGATCAAACTTTTCACTGCCACAGGAGTCTGTTCACAGCCACCAAGGACACCACAACAGTAAGTCTGGCCCTTAGGCCAGCATTTGGGCTAGGGAGGAACCTGGATTATCCAATAGATACTAGAAACATGGACCTTCCCATGCGGATGGTAAACATTTCTCTGTCGCAGATACCCATAACTTGAGGGGGGGGGGAACTGATTCCAGGTCCCCAGGATGAAGCAATGTTGAGGTGGAGATGCCAGCCTGACACATCAGTATAACAGCAAGGAAGTTCAAAGGTAGGGTTGGAAGGAAAACAAGTACCATGGTCAGATAATGCTGTGGCAAACCAGATCATCTGTTTGGCTCTACCCAAGCCATCTGCTTCACCTACTGCAGGTATTAAACTGTTGCTTGGAGACTCTACCCAAAATACCCAGCATGCTTTGCATGGCCTCACTTAATCCACAATGCAGTTCCCACTGTCGCATTCACCTACATCCCACAGGGACTCAAGCCAGTGGCTACTGTATGGCAGCATTTTTCTGACACCATTATTTTTATATACATATTAAAAACATTACTGTCATGGCTCAGAAGCTAGTAGTAAACTTTACTCTGATCCTGAAACAGTTCACAGGTACCTTAGGTATTCCGGAACACTCAAGCCAATCACGGACGATGTTCTCAACAGACAGGCCGAGCCTTCAGAAACAAAACAAGAACCAAATAGTTAAAAAAAAAAAATGCTTCAGAACACACAGGACCGGGACCTGGCTAAGTATTCGGGCAGAGGAGGGGCTCTCTTGAGAATAAGCACTGCCCCACTGGCTGTCTGTGGGAAGGAACCCGTCACATTAGGGCCATCTCTCCAGTGAACACCAGTGTCTGCAGACCAAAACTGACGAAGCACGGTCAAGGAGCAGCAAATACGTTTAAAGCTTTAGGGGACAGGGATGTTCCTGGATCATGTAGAGCCTGACTGCCTGCTAGGGAGGCAAGGAAAGTGAGGTCTCAACAGCAGCTAGTGTGGCAACAAGTCACTGAAATGGGCAATAACAATGGGCTGCAAGAGCAGGGTACACTGCGACCGGCCCACCTGTCTGTTTTCCATGCAGACCCACATCAAAGCCCCTCTCTACGCAGTGTTAGGAATTTCTATCAGCTTGGCTGAAATTAAAGTGCTTTCTTGCCCTGCTGACTTCACTGGTCTATAAAATCATTACATATCTGCAATACTAACAGCTGATGGTCTTCCTTCAGCACCAGGCAACTCCTGTTCATGCCCAGTATCTGCTCACTGGCCCTTAGCCAGGAAGAAGGCACCCTGCTTCCTTGGAACCCCCATCACTCCCTGACCCCTCAATCTTAGCACATTTGGGGTAGAATGGTTTGCTGGCATCGTGTTTACTGTCTTCTTGAAGGATGAATGCTCTCTACCAGCCAACCCCAGCACTCACTACAGTTCCTGGTAGGAAGGTGGGTTTCTGTCAAGATATTTTTATTTGAATGAATAAAAACACATTTGGGGGAGGGGCATGGAGATGGTTCTGCAGGTAAAGCCTTGGCTATTCAAGCCTGATGGCTAGAGTTCCATCCTAGAACCTACACAAGAAGCTAGATGTGGTGGCACATCATGTGTAATCCCAGCACTCCTATCAGGAGAAGGGAAGTAGAGACAAAATGACTGCCTCAAAATGCGTGAACTGGCTAGCAGAAAACAAAAGAGACCCTGCCCTAGCAGGATAAAATTTAGAACTGACCCTCCAGAGTTATCATCTGGCAACTGTGAGCAGGTACAAGAACACACACATGCATAACATAAGTAACTCCCCTCTACAATTTCTCTATTGGTGATAGAAGTTGTAGAAATATGCAGTACACTGAGGAACTAGAAGGCTGAGTGTAGTCCACTGTGGGCATCTGGTCAGAAATCAGCTTTCAGTGGGCTGGGGAAATAGCACCTACTAGGGAAGAAACACAGGATATGCATGGAGAGGGTCTGAGCTTCCATAGCCAGGGTCTCACAAGAGGACTACCAGGCAGATGATGGGGAGCAAACCTAAGAAGTCAGAGGGACAGGTCTTCCTGGTCCCTGTAACAAGTGGCATTTCCAGACACGCCTCATAAGAAAGCTGAGGACCACCATCAGTGGCCTTTTCATCACCTGCTACCATGTAACACCATCAATCCAGGTCAAATAGCCAAGTACTCTGTACATTTGACACTCAGAGACAGACTGCTCCTCAGAGCATCTTCAGGAGGATCACTGTCCTCCCTTGTGCTTAGGTGAAGGCCCCAATACACCCTCAGTGGATTTGGCTGACCAGACAGGACTATGAGGGTAGGTCTGGCTGGCCACTCAGGGAAAATAGCACAGGAGAGGGTCTCAGAAGACAGGGCTGGAAACTAGCATACACGGAACTGGCTTCAGTGTTGAAAACCCAGGGCTGCTCAGAATGAGAACAGGAAACAGACCTCTCCGCCAAGTGAATTGTGTCCCAGTGGCATGATCAATGGTAGGTAGAGTGCAGACAGACTGCCTTTGTTTCAAATAGGCCTTCAACTTGTTGTCTCACTTCCAATGTAAACAGAATCAGTCTTATATGCCAGTTTCACACATCTCAAGGGAAAACAACAACAACAACAACAACAACAAACAATTATTTTCTTGGACACAGGTAGGAATTGTTGTTCACTAGCTTAATTTCTAGCCAGACTCCTGTGGACCACACTCTGGCATTATCTTAATCACCCATAGAAAAGCCAAAGTCAGAGGCACTTCTAAGGCTGACTGTGCAGCACCTGACATCTAGGAAGACAGGTCTATAGCATATGGAGAGAGACAGCACTTAGAATGCTCAGAAGTAGCATGGATGGTCAAAGAGTCAGACACAGTGGATACATCCAAGAGTTCATAGAAACTGGGATTAAATGTCCTGAAAAGGCAACATCTGAGTGGTGACTTAATTGCTGTTTCTGAGTGTTTTTTCAGAAGATGGTGAGCAGCTGTTGGGCATCACCACAGAGGAGTAAATCCAGGACACAAACATCATCTCCTTTCTGGAATTTCCACTGCAAGACTCTTCTTTCAGTGGCGTAAGGAGAGGCCAGGGAGCAAAGACTGAGAAAGTAGGTGTTGTGCATTGTCCCAAATCCTCAGGCAAGAAGCCTGAGGACCAGGCAAACATCTGTATGAGGCAAGCATCTGGTGGAGCTACCATGGCCAGAGTAGAGGGAGCTGACGTGAAAACATCCCAGAGATTGTCTCTGCGGAATAGATGATGGGTGCTTCATAAGATGCTGCAGCTTATAGGATTTGCATCTGTGATGTGGAAGACCATATCCTTGCTCAGGGAGGATGAATGGGTAGAGCATATCGAGAAAAATGCTCAGAGGTTCTGAAAAGAGGTGCCACTTGAGTATGTAGTTGAGAAGGCGGCACTGTCCTGCATGCTGGGACATGAGCAGTGGAGATAGAGGAGACACAGAGCAAGAAGACATGCCTACATGCCTATTCCACAGAGTCAAAGTGTAGATAAGGCTTGACTCAGCCAGTAGCACCTAGCATGGTATGAGAATGGACCACCATGACTACAAAATAAAGAAGAGTCAAGAGGCAGGGAGGTCACATGGCAGGCTGCTGATTTGCTGGCATGTGTGTTTGTGTGTGCACATGCACTTACTTTGGAGACTTGGTCTCTCTATGTAACATAGGATGGCTTCAAACTCAAGGTACCTCAGTTCCCTGAGAATGTGCAACCCATGCTGAGGACGTAGAATGCTGAGGAAGGGTAGGGAAGGCTGCAAGACTGGCAGTAGACTCTGGCTTCTATCAATCTCTACAAGGCAATATTTCACAGAAAGCATGTGACCACTACTGTGCCTATCTACAGCCAACTCCAAGGGTTTGTTTACTGTCTAGTGGTAAAACAAATACTGATGCCATACTCAGTTTCTTCACACAGACACTCTGGTGGCACTAAAACAGAAAACGAATGAAGACATCTCTAAGCTCTTCCAAGTGGAGGCACAGAAGCAGCAGCTACCATCTATGTATTTACTATGTTAGAGCAGTACAGAAAACATCCACCTAAGTCTTAGAGAACCAGCACAAATCCAGTGTTGTTATGCACCGTGTGGAGTTGAACAAAGTCCTCGGGGCTTGGGAAACTTACTTAAGGCTGCACAGATGGTACCTGAAGAGCTGGGATTGAAATTTATAAAGCTCTGCTTTCCTTCTCATGTTGAACCTGGGTTTCATCATGAATCCCTTTCTGCAGTGGTATAAACACGCCGCAGACACAGAGCCTGAGCACCTGTACATCTGTGCCCAACATAGCTGTCCCTTCTTGCTAACACTTCTCACCCTAAAGGTAGCCAGCTTCCTGCTGGGGCTGCCTGGCTTGTCTGCTCTCCAATTACCTTTGAAGAGAAGAAGAGGGCCTTTAGGGGCAGAGATGTGAGGACGAGAGAGCTCCCGAGCCTACAGTCAGAAGCAACAACTCTTCTGCCTTAACTGAAAAGAGCTGGATTTTCAGGCCACTTTTCTCTGGGAAGATTCAGAGCATCTTATAAGCACAACCCCCTTGGTCCTTACGGTAGCTATGTGAAGTGGATGATGACTGTCTGAGTGGGTGTCAGTCACAGCCTAGGTAGTCAGTGTTGCCAGGGGGACATCTCAGTTCTGCTGTTAGTGCCCTAAGCCTGTCTGGGGAACGGTGGGATAAGATGTTAGACCACCAGAAGAAGAATCATGCATTAATACTTGCCCACTAAAAAGCAAGGGAGCCACCATGTAATGATGCTACTCCCCACCCCCCCAACACCGAGAAGAAGTGGACCACATGTTTTCAGAGAAAAGTGGGCATCTGTGATAGTTTTGCTGTTTTGATCATTACTATAGAAATGGCACAGCAGTGATTTAAGTGAACAGCTGCCTGTCACAGGCAGACCCACAGTGTCTAAGCCAGTGGTGTGTGTTTTCCCTCTGAGGTCACTCAACTTAAACCATCCTAGCAGACAAGCAGAAGCATTTCCACATAGCCAGGACCCAGGACACACAGGAAATGACCCTTCTGCATGTCTCATCACTACGGAAACAGATTTTATGCAGCAGATAGCTAACCGGACACAGACCGAAAGTGCATGACCTTCACATCTGTACTAGGGCATTCACTTTTTCCACACTATGGCTGAGACCTGGTACTGCGGGCAGCAGGCAGTGCTACCCACTGGCTGCCTGCTTGCGTGTACCACACTTCACATGGCAGTGTGGGGTTTTCGTGCCCTATCTTGAGACTCTCTGGGGTATAAATGTGGTCACAATTAGTTAATACAGAAGGAACCAGAACATGCTTCTCTCCCTGATATGATACTGCTTACAAAAGTAAGCTGTGTTTAAAGCCTAGAAAGGGAACAAGTGACCTTTGCATGATGTGGACATGAACAGAACTAAGCACAGGCTTGCAGAAGATGGGTTGCACACACCTGGACGTCTTGCTATTGACGTCTGAGCTGCTGTGGTGAATGAGGCAGCTACTGTCACCTGTGTCTATCGTGGGCCCACTAGTTTGCTGGTGACTGAGTACAATGCTGTTATCATTCTTGGCTCTTGCCTTCAGCCTCCTGGGATTTCAACCTTCATGCTCTCCCTCCACAACCCACCACATACTCCCACCAGTTTCACATGAAGCAAATGCCAG